CCCCAATGTACCTGGTCTCCAAGCACTTTTTATTTAATTTCTACATCACTTTTTTAATGTTTGGTTTTGGTGGTTGGATTTTTAAAATATTTTGTTGGAAATTATGTTTCACAAATGAGGTCACCTTATGCTGTTATGCATGTCTTTATCACCTCTGTAGTTTCGTGGTGTTTTTTTGGCCCACATTAGTATACTGCTTCACTGTAGTTCATTTGACCTATCTGGTTTATTTTGATGAACATTAGGTGGTTTTCCAGTTGCTTGTTTTGCTTATAATAGTAAATTTAAACATTTCTGCTATGAACACTTCCTTTGTTTAAAGAAACATTATTTAAATGAATATTTCTATAGCAAAAAAGTAGTGATAGCTTTTCTCAAATATATATCTCACCCTGAAACCGGTTTGAATTATTTTAATTTCAAGATGCTTTAAATTCTGTTATATTAACAGAAAATTTATGGGGTTGTTTTGTTCTGTTTAGAGACAGGGTCTTGCTGTGTTGCCCAGGCTGGAGTGCAGTGGTGCAATCGTAGTTCACTGCAGCCTCAAACCTAGGCTCAAGCGATTCTCCTGCCTCAGCCTCCTGAGTAGCTGGGACTACAGGCAGATGCCACCACAATTAGTTTATTTTGTTTTTGTAGAGATGGGGTCTTGCTATGTTGCCCAGGCTGGTCTTGAACTCTTGGGCTCAAGTAGTCCCCCCACCTCAGCCTCCCAGAGTGTTGGGATTACACGCGTGAGCCACCGTGCCCAGCTGCAAATTTTTGATTATAAGAATTATTAAGTCAACTGTCTCTTATACCGGAAATACTTTTCAGTCTGTTACTGACATGTAATACTAACCTTTCTTTGGTTTATATTAAAAATGAGTATCTCAGTAGTGATAGCTGGAAATGGAGTATAAGTTTATATCAGACTTACAGAAAATCTCTCTTTGAACTTTTAATAACCTGTATCCCAATTGGGTTATATTTAATTGTGTTTATTCTAGAACATGACCTTTGACCTGCCATCAGATGCCAAAGTAGTGCTCAACAGCAGCTCCTGTGGCAAAGAGAACACTTCTGACCCCAGCCTCGTGATCGCTTTTGGAAGAGGACAGACACTAACCCTCAATTTCACAAGAAATGCAACTCGTTACAGCGTCCAGCTCATGAGTTTTGTTTATAACTTGTCAGACACACACCTTTTCCCCAATGCAAGCGCCAAAGGTAAGAACCAAAGTGGGCCGATTATAAAGTGATAGAAAATTGGGTTGGAGGATTGTCTAAAGTTACTTTTACCTGAGAATTACAGGTTGGGTGTAGTGGCTCACACCTGTAATCCTAGTATTTTGGGAGACTGAGGCAGACAGATCACTTGAGGTCAGGAGTTTGAGACCAGCCTGGCCAACATTGCAAAACACTGTCTCTACTCAAAATACTAAAATTAGCCAGGTGCCGTGGCAGGCACCTGTAATCCTAGCTACTCGGGAGGCTGAGGCAGGAGAATCGCTTGAACCCAGGAGGCAGAGGTTGCAGTGAGCCAAGATGGCGCCACTGCACTCCAGCCTGAGTGACCGAGTGAGACTCTCTCTAAAAAATTAAAAAACACGCAGCCAGGCATGGTAGCTCACGCCTGTAATCCCAGCACTTTGGGAGGCCGAGGCGGGCAGATCATGAGGTCAGGAGTTCGAGACGAGCCTGACTAACGTGGTGAAACCCCTTCTCCTAAAAGTTCAAAAATTAGCTGGGCGTGGTAGCACGTGCCTGTAATCCCAGCTACTCAAGAGGCTGAAGCAAGAGAATCACCTGAACGCAGAAGGCAGAGTTGCAGTGAGCCAAGATCACGCCACTGCACTCCAGCCTGGGCGACAGGGCAAGACTCCGTCTCAAAAAAAAATAAAAAACACATAAAATAAACTAAGTACGACAAGTAGTTTGCAATTGTGATTTTTTTTTTTTTTCTTTTTAAATCTAGAAATCAAGACTGTGGAATCTGTAACTGACGTCAGGGCTAAAATAAAAAACACATAAACTAAGTACTAAAAGTGGTTTGCAATTGTGATTTTTTTTTTCTTTTTAAATCTAGAAATCAAGACTGTGGAATCTATAACTGACATCAGGGCAGATATAGATAAAAAATACAGATGTGTTAGTGGCACCCAGGTCCACATGAACAACGTGACCGTCACGCTCCACGATGCCACCATCCAGGCGTACCTCTCCAACAGCAGCTTCAGCAGGGAAGGTAGGACACTGACCCTTGGCCCTCTGGTGCTAGTGGGTGGGTAGTTGGGCTGCAGTGACTGTGGGTGACCTCACTCCTCTGTGTCCTGGCGCTGGGCTCTGCTTGGAAGGCGTGTGCACACGGCCAGGGACGTCTCTGCAGAACGTTCTCATCCTTCTTCCTAGGGCAGGTGACTTGTAGATGAGGGTGGACACATGTTGATTATAAAGGGTAGAAGATTGAAGTGAAATATCCCAGGACAGAGACAGATGTTGTGTGGTCTCCCTCCCAGGGGAGCTAAAGAAGTAGCACTCGGGGAGGTAGAGAGAATGGTGGTCACCAGGGGCTAGGGGGCGAAGTTGGTCGGAAGATAGACAGTTTCAGGAAGACAGGAGGAATTAGTTGGAGAGATCTGTTGTATAGCATGTGACTACAGTTAATAATGTATTCTGGCTTGAATATTGCTAAGTAGATTTTAACTCTTCTCACCATAAAAAAGTGTTTGATTTTAGCTGTAGATGTATTTCAAAACATCCTGACACACGGTAAATACATACAATTATTACTTGAAAATGTCAGAAGGGCAAAGCAGTTGAAACCTTTGTGCTTCTACTGGGGCAGAGATGATGGGATCAGGGTCACAGATCTCTTGCAGTGTGAGCCAGTTGCCTTCACACAGAGACCTAGTCTTATCTCCATCCGGCTCTTGCCAGCCAGCTTAGGGACAGGTGCAGAAAGACCAGCACTGCCTCTCTGAGGAGGTCAGGGCCGTGATCATGCACCTGCTAACCCAGCCGCCAGGCTCTGGGGTCAGGCAGGGTCCAGGCCACCTTCTGGCCCTGTGATCTTGAGCAGAGTAGTTTACCTCTCATTTTCTTTGCATGTGGGATAAGATTAAAAGCCTGTCTTGGAAGATTGTTAGAATTAAAAGAGAAATGCATGCAAAGTGTGTATCTCAGCATCTGGCCCAGAGTTCAGTAGCAAACACCTGGTAAAGCCTGTTACTGTTGAGGAGCTTCTCTCCTGAGCCTCACAGTCCAGGTCGTAGGTGGTTGTCACTTTGCTGAAGTGTGAGGGCCTGTGATTTGCTTTAGGGTGGGCTTTCCCAGCTGATAGAAACATGTGTGGAGACATCCCTCAGGGTGGGCTTTCCTGGCTGCTAGAAATAGATGGAGACATCACAGCCTTCTCTAGTCTTGAGAACTGCTGTGGAGACCTTTGGTTTGCAGCATTCCTCAGCAGTCTTGCTTAAAGGCTGAGGTGTGACTGCTGGGCTCCAGGAGGCTCGTCCGTCTCCCGCTCCCCGAGGAGCAGGTACTCTTGCAGGTCGGCAGCCCCTGGTGCTGGGCCGGTCTTGCCCAACTCCAATTTCCATACAGCCCATGAGCTAAGAATGGCTTTTTGGTTTATAAATGTAACATAGCACAAATCAGAAAGCGAGTATTTATTGACATACAAAGATTATTTAAAATTCAGTGTCCATAAATTAATTAAATTTTCTTGGAACGCAGCCACACTCACTTATTTACACATTATCTGTGGTTGCTTTTGTATGAACAGTGGCAGGGCTGTGTTGTCTTCACAGAGAGCCACAGCCCACAAAGTCTAAACTATTTACTGCCTCTTGCTTTATAGCAAACTTTGCCTCCCCTGATGAGTGGGTGAAAAGGAGCCCGACTGGGAAACCCCGGGTGTGACTGGGACTTGGTGGGGCCATGTGGGCTCCCATAGGGGAGGCTTGGACAGAAACATACTTAGGAGCTGGGTCCTCTACAGGTGCTGCTGCCTTTAATCCTCAGCACAGGGCCCCGGGGCCGTGGTGACAGCCCCTTTCCTGGTGCAGCCTCTGTTCACACGGAGCCTGGAGTCGTGTCTGCTTCATCGGGAAGAGCGGGCTAGAGTCCCCTCACATGGGCCGTGTATGTCTGAGGACGGCCGTCTGGCAGCCTGTCCAGGTCACGGGCTGCGTGTGTCTGAGGACGGCCGTCTGGCAGCCTGTCCAGGTCACGGGCTGCGTGTGTGTCTGAGGATGGCCGCCTGGCAGCCTGTCCAGGTCACGGGCTGCGTGTGTCTGAGGACGGCCGTCTGGCAGCCTGTCTGGGTGTGTTCATGCTCTCAGACATGCAGAGCTAAAGATGACTTCAGCTAGGGCAGCACTCCCTACCGAGTGGGAGTTAAGAGTGACACATGGGGGTAGTGTTCCCGGTTATCGATTTCCAAATTATCTGGGCTCCACACCTAGCTGGCTGCCTCTGGGCTGCATCATTGTGGTTTGAAGAGGAGAAGGAAAGGTGTGCACTCTCTGTCAGAGCTTTTGGGAAGTGAGAGAGAATTGGGTGCTGACCTTGGTTGGGGACTCCCTATCGGCCAGGCCCGGTTGCAGAACGTGTCACGTCCGCATGTGGCTCTGTGACCAAAGGGTGCGTGTCGCGTGATGGCTCCATTACTTCTGCCTGGAAGTGAGGGGCTGCTAGGTGAAGGTCAGCGAGGATGTTGAGCACCTGAGATGGGTGGCAGGATTCTCTAGACGAAAGACAAGGCTTCACAGGTCCGGAGAAGCTTGTTAGGTTCTTCTGAGAAACTGTTTCTTCAGGCTAATAATTAGTTTTAAGATAGACTAGTTTTGAGAGCAGTCTTAGGTTTCCGTGTATTCTCTGCTGCTGTGCATGTACAGCCTCCCACAGCCTCCCTCCGTGTCCAGATCCCGGACATTGGTTCCTTTTTTAATGGAGACCACGCATGTGATTCCAAGTGGAAAAGGCCCAACAGCCCAGCCCTGGCCACTTGCCCCTCCTGGAGGCAGCCGTTGTGGAGATGCCCGTGTGCTTGGGGTGGGGCCCCCTGGAGGCTGCTTCCAGCTTGGGTGGCGCTGGACCAGAAAGCCTCATTCATCTTGCTTTTTTTTTTTTTTTTGAGACAGAGTCTCGCTCTGTCGCCCAGGCTGGAGTGCAGTGGCGCAATCTCGGCTCACTGCAACCTTGGCCTCCTGGGTTCAAGCGATTCTCCTGCCTCAGCCTCTTGAGTAGCTGGGATTATGGGTGTACATCACCACGTCTGGCTAATTTTTGTATTTTTAGTAGGGGGAGCGTTTCATCATGTTGGCCAGGATGGTCTCAGACTCCGGACCTCCCAAACTGCTGGGATCACACATGAGAGCCACCGTGCCCGGCCTGTATTGCCTTTCAATACATCATCTTATCTAATAAAGCTCGGGGACCTCGTAGATTTTATTATTTTTAAAGGAAATGAAGCCAAGTTTTGGTTTTTTTTTTGTTTTGTTTTGTTTTTTTGAGACGGAGTCTCGCTCTGCCGCCCAGGCTGGAGTGCAGTGGTGCAATCTCGGCTCACTGCAAGCTCCGCCTCCTGGGTTCATGCCATTCTCCTGCCTCAGCCTCCCCAGTAACTGGGACTACAGGTGCCCGCCACCACGCCCAGCTAATTTTTTGTATTTTTAGTAGAGATGGGGTTTCACTGTGGTCTCGATCTCCTGACCTTGTGATCCGCCCACCTCGGCCTCCCAAAGTGCTGGGATTACAGGCGTGAGCCACTGCGCCTGGCCGCACAAGCCAACTTTGAATGGACTTTCCTGTTGGTTTTGTACCTTCCTTCCTGAGCATCTTCAAAGTAGGGCAGATGTGGCTGGATGCGGTGGGTCACGCCTGTAATCCCAGCACTTTGGGAAGTTGAGGTGGGTGGATCACCTCAGGTCAGGAGTTTGAGACCAACCTGGCCAACGTGGCAAAAACCCATCTCTACTAAAAATACAAAAATTAGTCTGGCGTGGTGGCAGATGCCTGTAGTCCCACCTACTCAGGAGGCTGAGGCAGGAGAATCGCTTGAACCTGAGAGGTGGAGGTTGCAGTGAGCCTAGATCATGTCACTGCACTCCAGCCTGGGTGACAGAGTGAGACTCCATCTCAAACAAACAAAAACAGGATAGATGACTGTCACTCCGGAGGGTCTGAGTACAGCTGTGCCTGAGGCTGGAGTCAGCCAGGGGTCTCTCCAAACCGGATTTCCAGCGCAGGCCCACATGGGGTTAGCAGATCTATGGTGAGGCTGGTGAGGCTCAGCCAGGCTTCTGGGTTTATGAGTTCACCTGGAGGAGTGGGGTGTTTTCGTCTTTTATCCTCAGGGTCTGATGGGTGCACGCTTGTTGAATGAGTCAGAGGACTGCCTGACCCCTGTTAGGAGTTGGAAATAGAGGTCACCTTCATACACAGGTCACCATGTCTCACCTCCCACCCAATTTGGCAGCATTTTTTTTATTCCTAGGAACAGAGTCTGACTCTTAGCTTAAATAGAAGGAATCAATGGTAAAACATTGGAGGCGGAGGTTGCAGTGAGCTGAGATCACGCCAGTGCACTCCAGCCTGGGTGGCAGAGCGAGTGAGACTCGTCTCAATAAAAAAGAAAGAAAAAAAAAGACCTACCATCAGAAAGGTGGGGAGGATGAGAGTCCTGCCTTAGGACAGGTGAAAGGGGCAGGAGAAGGTCAGAGGCCTGACACAGCCAACATTTTCACAGAAGACTGTAAGAGGGCTGTGGGAGGGGAGCTATGAGCCGGGAGCCTGGGTGCGAACCAGCCTCATCCTCACAGACCCCCTTGAGGCTCTGAATTGCAGCCTGCAGGTTGATGTGAGTATCTGCTGTTGCCAGGAGAGGAGGGGGGGCCTTCAGAGCACATGAACTTTGGAAAGGCCCGGCTAGTGCTGCTCTCTGGAGGGGGTTGGGGGAGGCGTGCAGTGGACCCCCAGGTCCTCAGGTCTCCGAGAGGCTCCTGTGCCACCATCTCCCCCCGGGCAGCGCAGGGCGCTCTCCAGCGTGTTCTGTGACGAGCTCTCTGTCAGTGTCCTCGTCCAAGAGGCTCCTGTGCCACCGTCTGCCCCTGGGCAGTGCAGGGCACTCTCCAGCGTGTCCTGTGACGAGCTCTCCAGTGTGTTCTGTGACGAGCTCTCCAGCGTGTCCTGTGACGAGCTCTCCAGCGTGTTCGGTGACGAGCTCTCCAGTGTGTTCTGTGATGAGCTCTCTCTCCGTCAGTCCTCAGTGACGAGCTCTCCAGCGTGTTCGGTGACGAGCTCTCTCTCCGTCTGTCCTCGGTGATAGCTCTCCGTCCGTCAGTCCTCGCCCGCAGCAGGAAGGACTTGGGTGTTAATAGTGTGAGTTCAGGGAAGGAGAGTGAGGGTTTTGCATTTGTAATTCGGGTAGAAGGAAGAGGGCATTTTATCCACACTCATTTCTCAAGTTCCAGTTTTTTAAACTGGTGGTTAGACCTGATGATGTGTTTCCAACTTCTCGTGACCACTCTACAGAAACAAGGGGGGAAATGAACATGTTACGTGGATCACAGGTTAAAAATAATTGTCAGAGCAGCGTAGGTGACACTTTTTCTGTGTGTCGTGTGGCCATCTAGACTAGAATTTGGAGACTGGCCAGTTTTGATTGGGTTTTGCACATTTAACTTTTGCCTGTTTGACCGTGTTCTGTAATATTTTATAAAGGAACTGTGAAGCTGCTGTTTGTTTTTTGAGACAGGGTCTCCCAGGCCGGAGTGCAGTAGCACAGTAACTGCTCACCGCAGCCTCAGCCTCCAGGCTCGTGGCCCTCCCGAGTCAGCCTTCTGAGGAGCTGGGACTCAGGCGCGTGCCACCATGCCTGGCTAATTTTTTAGAAATACTCTGTGGAGATGGGGTCTCCCTGTGTTTCCAGGCTGGCCTTGAACTCCTGGGCTCACGCAGTCCTCGTTCCGTGGCCTCTCAAAGCCCTGGAATTACAGGCATGAGCCACCGCGCCCAGCAGGTGAAGCTGTTTTGGAAAGGACTGGTCGACCTGCAGCTTAGCCAAGGGCAGTGAGCGAGGTTCCCTGAGCACATCCCCGGTTGGGACGGCTTCCAGGGGCTGTCGGTGCCTCTCACTTCAGAGCTTCGTGTGGTTACTGCAGCTCTTCTCTGCCATCTTCTGCTCTGTCTAGAAGGGGCTTTTACACCGGGGTGTGGGGGACTCCTGCGTTGTGTGTCCCAGAACCTGTTGGGGTGCAGTCATAGGCGACATTTCCTGTCTCTCCTCCCCTGAGTAGATGGTGTGTGAAGGTCAAATTGGCCACTGATGCTGAGATGGAAGCGGAAGCAACAAGTGACTGATGGAGTTATGGGGGCAGATCCCCCGCAGGGTTGTCCACCCTGGATATTTGGGGCTCACGCATGCTGACTCAGCCTAGCAGAGTTGTGGAAAGGATCAAATTGGGTAGAAATTATGTAAATATTATTGAGTATCCACAGAAACAAGTGGTAAAAGAAAACCTGATTTCAAGGTTGATGGTGTGTGGGTTGAGTGTTGGCCACAGAAGACTCAGTAGAGCTCTGCCGAGGGTTCATTCTGCCTTGATTTTGAATATAAATTTGTGTTGTGAACATCTTGGTGGGTCAGTTGCTGAGGGACAGAGTCACATTCAGACTGCTGTACGTTCCCTGGGGGTGCCATGTGGCCCCTCCACAGACTCCCTGGACTGTGCCCTCTTGTCCGGGGATTTCAGACGCACCCACATTCAGTACCTTCTCCCTCGTGAGGATGCTTGCCCATCCCCCACAGCCACCTCCCCAGATGAAAACCCAACACAGCTGGCTAGCCTTGCCCGCCTTTGAGGGTCTGCTCACACGTGGGGTCCTTGCGGAGGCTGCCTGACCCCTGTCCTGCCAGAGGGCCTCCTTGGCTGTGCTGCGTCCCACCTGGCTGGTCTGTGTGCGCTGCAAACCCTGTTTTCCTCTCGGTACTATTTCCAGCACGATCCTGGCACCGACCCGACAGCTCAGGGAGCAGTTTCTGAGTCGTCACCGTTTCCCATGGGGGGAGGTGGCTGGCCACGCATCACAGCCTCCTGCGTCCACTCCTTCGTGACAGCGGTCAAGGCCTTCTCACCCTCACTTTAGGAAGAGGGTGGCACAATGGACCCTGTCGAGCCACGGGGCGTGGCATGTGGTGGGCAGTGCCTGCTGCCCAGGCAGAACTGTTCTGGGTAGTGGGAGGTGGAGGCTGAGGGTGCCCTGGGGGCCTGTGCGAGCCATCTGCAGTCTGCAGGACCCGGCTCTGTCCTGTGCATGTAGAAAGGCACTAGCGAGAGCCACTTTGGGCGACGGAGAAACTAGTCACCAAGGACGCCAGAGCCCACAGGTGTAGTTTTGTTTCTGAGTTTGGATCTTACTGTAACTGCTGATGGTTATGAGAAACCCGGACCTGGATCTCCCTCCACTGTACCTGCAGAGACGCGCTGTGAACAAGACAGGCCTTCCCCAACCACAGCGCCGCCTGCGCCACCCAGCCCCTCGCCCTCACCCGTGCCCGAGAGCCCCTCTGTGGACAAGTACAACGTGAGCGGCACCAACGGGACCTGCCTGCTGGCCAGCATGGGGCTGCAGCTGAACCTCACCTATGAGAGGAAGGACAACACGGTAGGCCTGGGCCTCGCCTGGGAGAGGGGGATGGTACAGCAGGGTGGGGCCTCTGCTCCCTGCGCACCGAGAGCATCTCTGCACGTCATGCTGTAAGGCAGGGTGGGAGCTCAGCTTGCAGGATGTGACCCTGCAGGACAAGAGCTATGGCATCTGTGTCAGGGAGTCTGTTTTGTAGGAGCACAGCCGTCCTGCTGGTTCCATCATCCAAGGCTGGTGTCCCAGCATGGCCTGTTGAGCAGTGTGGCCCATGGAGCCTAAAACATTCACTTGGCCCCTGATAGAACCTAAGGTTTCTTTACATACTTATCATGGAAACATTTAAGTGTTACATTTTTATAGTTTTCTTTTGAAATAGTTTTTCTCCCCTAATAGTGACAGGCTGTGGGGGTTGTGGGGGTCGATTTGCGTGCCATGGGGTGAGTTTGCAAGGCTGACTGTTGCGGGGGAGGTGGTGCTGCTGGGTGCCGTCCACGCGGGGACGCTGCACTCACGGGGGCAGGGAGAGTATCTTGGGACCCCAAAATCTGCACAGATCACCGAAATCTGTGTGGCCTTTCAGTGTTTTCCTTCTGATTTGGGTTAAGACAAATGTGGCCTTGAATTCACGGTTTCGGGACTCTGTGTCTTTTCGAGAGTGTGGAAGACCTGAGCCACGGTGCTGACTTGCTTGCTTGTCTTACGCAGACGGTGACAAGGCTTCTCAACATCAACCCCAACAAGACCTCGGCCAGCGGGAGCTGCGGCGCCCACCTGGTGACTCTGGAGCTGCACAGCGAGGGCAGCACCGTCCTGGTCTTCCAGTTCGGGATGGTGAGGCTGGGGCGGCGCCTCTGTGGGGGCACCCACTGTGTCTCCGCCACATCTTTTTGTGACCTGGGTCTGCTCATGGGAGGCAGCGTTAGGAAGGAGGCGGCCTCACTTTTTTCTGCCTTCCCTTTATCCTGGGCCTTTGAGTTCCTTGGTTCCCCTCCCCCTTCTCCATTCCGTTCACAGATGGAGCAGGTGATGTGGGCGGGGCTGCCGTGCCCACAGTTGGAGTGGCTGCAGGGGAGGGGATGCAGGATGAGGGTCTGCTGCGCAGCCTCCTGGCCTCAGATGCTGCTGCCCTGTGGCTCTGTGATGGCATTTCTGCTTGGGTGGACGCCTGTGCAGTTAGCAACATAAGACATGAAGCATATAATTGTCACTTGTCAGTCTTTAAATGGCTGTGCAAATGAATTAACAGTTCAGTTTCTTATAATTTTAGCTTTCCAAATCATGCTTTCCTGTGCTGTGATAGCTCCTGCAGTCCCCGTTTTCCAGAGAATCTCACTCTCTCAAGAGGTCTGGAAGGACCAGCCTGGGCAGCACAGGGAGGCTCCGTTTCTGCAGATGATAAAACAAGTTAGCTGGGCGTAGTGGCGCACACCTGTGGTCCCAGCTACTTGGGAGGCTGAGGTGGGAGGATCGCTTGAGCCCAGGAGTTCAGGTTGCAATGGGCGGTGATCACTCCACTGCACTCCAGCCTGGGTAACAGAGCAAGACTCTCAGAAAAGGGTCTGGAAGGAGCTAACTAAAATTTTCATTCCCCAGAGATACACAACGCCTTTTAGAGACAAGGTATTCTGCAGTTTTGTTCTAATACTAGAAACGTAGGAAGTCAGCTTTATTACCAAATGACCGTTCAAGTTTGATGATAAATGTGTGAATCTACTAAGTGGTTAAAGATCATCTTTCTGTGAATCTGCTCAGTGGTTAAAGATCATTTTTCTTTTTAAGAATGCAAGTTCTAGCCGGTTTTTCCTGCAAGGAATCCAGTTGAATACAACTCTTCCTGACGCCAGAGGTGAGAACCCACCATCCCTGCGAGCCGCCCCCCCGCCCAGGGTGTCTGGAGTCATTAGACTTCTGTGTGTGTTGCAGACCCTGCCTTTAAAGCTGCCAACAGCTCCCTGAGAGCCCTGCAGGCCACCGTCGGCAACTCCTACAAGTGCAACGCCGAGGAGCACGTCCGCGTCACAAAGGCCTTTTCAGTCAACATATTCAAAGTGTGGGTCCAGGCTTTCAAGGTGGAAGGTGGCCAGTTTGGCTCTGGTGAGTGTCACCGAGGGCAGCTGTCGTGGGGTGTGGAGGACGCGCTTCAGACTCCGCCTGTGGACATATAGTTGCTTCTGTGTGGGCTGGGGCCATGCCTCTGTTCCTCTGCAAGGAGCTGTTTCTTCTTCCCGGTCTGAGGAAGCTGCCCCTGCCTTAGCGAGGCCCAGTGTGTATCAGCTAGGAGCCCCTGGTACCATGTGAGAGTGAGGGATCATTTTAAGAAACAGCGGTGGCACTTCTCCCATGAAAGTCAAATACAAAACTGTCATCTGATGTGCCCAGAGGCCCTGGACGCAGCACAGCTGTCCGGCCACAGCCCGATTCCAGACGGGGAAGAAAGGTGTGTGGTTTCCTCGCTTGCAGAGAGCACCAGTCTCTGCAGCGGCTTCCCCAAGTGACAGTTCCAGCTGGACCTGGAACCTTCCGCCAGGGTTCCTCTTGCCTTTTGGCTGATGTGGAGGGTGGGTGGGGAGAGAGGCCTGTTTGCAGGCCCCCGTGTGAGCGCAGCCCTGACGCCATCCGTCTGTCTTGGCAGTGGAGGAGTGTCTGCTGGACGAGAACAACATGCTGATCCCCATCGCTGTGGGCGGCGCCCTGGCGGGGCTGGTCCTCATCGTCCTCATCGCCTACCTCGTCGGCAGGAAGAGGAGTCACGCCGGCTACCAGACGATCTAGCCCGGCAAGCAGGCACAGCAGCTGCAGGGGCCTCTGTTCCTTTCCCTGGGCTTAGGGTCCTGTCGAGGGGGAGGCACACTTTCTGGCAAACGTTTCTCAAATCTGCTTCATCCAATGTGAAGTTCATCTTGCAGCATTTACTATGCACAACAGAGTAACTATTGAAATGACGGTGTTAATTTTGCTAACTGGGTTAAATATTTTGCTAACTGGTTAAACATTAATATTTACCAAAGTAGAACTCTGAGGGTGGGAGTGCTGCTCTCTCGGAGGGAGGGTGGGAGTGCTGCTCTAAATTGGCACTGGCTCCACTATCATTTGACTTTAGGATTCTGGTGTTTGGTTTCTTCATTCTTTACTGCACTCAGATTTAAGCCTTACAAAGGGAAAGCCTCCGGCCGTCACACGTAGGACGCATGAAGGTCACTCGTCGTCAGGCTGACATGCTCACACATTACAACCGTAGAGAGGGAAAATCCTAAGACAGAGGAACTCCAGAGATGAGTGTCTGGAGCACTTCAGTTCAGCTTTAAAGGCCAGGACAGGCTGGCCACACGCGGCTGGCGGCCTCGTTCCAGCGGCGGCGTGTCCTTGGGCGTCTCATGCTCTGCGGCTCAAGGGCTGGCACTTTTTAAAATATAAAAATGGGTGTTATTTTTATTTTTTTTGTAAAGTGATTTTCGGTCTTCTGTTGACATTCGGGGTGATCCTGTTCTGCGCTGTGTACAATGTGAGATAGGTGCTTCTCGTGATGTTTTGCCGCGGCTTGGGGATTGTACACAGGACCGGCTCACGTAATGCATTGCCTGTAACAATGTAATAAAAAGCCTCTTTCTTTTTTGTGTGGGCCTTGTCCTTTTGTCAGCTAAATGGGAGCTCATGAGAAGGACGTCAGGGAAATGGGGGTCGAGCGTGGTTTCAGTGCAGAGAAGGGTGTCAGGGAAACGGGGGTGAGGGTGGTTTCAGTGCAGAGAGAAGGGTGTCAGGGAAACGGGGGTGAGGGTGGTCTTGGTGCAGAGAGAGAAGGGTGTCAGGGAAACGGGGGTGAGGGTGGTCTCGGTGCCAGATGTAGGGAATGGTGTTGGAGTGGCCCGAGTTCCTGGCACAGTTGTCTGGTTCATTCATGTAAAAGAATTTTTAAATCATTAAAAGAATAACCTTTCATACAGAGATACATGGTATAATATGCAGCCATAAAAAGGAATGAGATCATGTCCTTTGAAGGGACATGGATGGAGTTGGAGACCCTTATCCTCAGCAAACTAACACAGGAACAGAAAACCAAACACCACTTGTTCTCAAGTGGGAGCTTCTGATGAGAACACATGGACACAAGGCGGGGAACACCACACACTGGGGCCTATTGGGTTGGGGGCAGGGAGAGCATCAGGAAGAATAGCTAAGGGATGCTGGCTTCATACCTAGGTGACAGGATGATCTGTGCAGCAAATCACCATGGCACACATTTACCTATGCAGCAAACCTGTTCACCCTCCACCTGTACCCAGACCTTAAAAGTTGAAGGGAAAAAATGACCTTTCTAGAGAGAAATCACCTACTACGTGCAGAAGCCTCACATGAAGTGAGTGCTGAGCCACAGAAAGGAATGGAATATTCACACTGCCGTTGGGGAGGCCTCAGTGACCACTGTGTTAATTTCCAGTCAGCTGAGAAACTGATTAGCATCCTTTATTAGATACAAAGCCACATCTCACATTTTATATATTATTGATATCTCAGGTAAAAAGTTTTCTTTAAAAAGTATGACTTCATAACTAATCAAAAGCTGGTAGAATGACCTGGTTTTAAACTGCTCTTTTAAAAAAATTCACAACTACAGTGTAGTGATGTCAAGTATTTACAACACTAAAAAGGAAAGCAGTGAAAGCTGGTCCAGTGTCAACTCTGGAAAGGAGAATCGCCGTCTGTGCGGAGATGAGCAACGCAGGAGACAGGCACACTCACCCCTGTGCCAGCAGCCGGGCCCTGCAGCTCTCGCGCAGCTTGGCGACGGTGGCCATGGATAAGCTTCCAGGTTCTGAAAATATTTTCTGGAAGGCAAACAGTTAGTTTAAAAACAAACCCAACAACACATTTCTACCTTAGCTCTCCCAGACTGTGGCAGACAGATGGGCGGGCCTAGTGTGAGGTGAGGGAGGAGCCGCCCACGTCCCAGGGGTTCTGGGGTGACCCACAGATTGTCACCATCTCACTCCTGCCTTGGGGCCTGGGACTGCAGCTCTGCTGCTCAAAGATGTTAAATGAATCAAGCAGTTGAAGAAAAGACCATCTGCTTCCTTTAGACTTTTTTTTTTTTTTTTTGAGACAGAGTCTTACTCTGTTGCCGAGGCTGGAGTGCAGTGGCGCAATCTCAGCTCACTGCAACCTCCACCTCCCAGGTTCAAGTGATTCTCATGCCTCAGCCTCCCGAGTCACTGGGACTACACAGGCGTGAGCCACCACACATGGCTAATTTTTGTATTTTTTAGTAGAGACGGGGTTTCATTGTGTTGGCCAGGCTGGTCTTGAACTCCTGACCTCAGGTGATCCACACACCTTGGCCTCCCAAAGTGCTAGGATAACAGGCATGAGCCACTGTGCCCAGCCAACATGGTCTTCTCTTCGATGAAGCCCCGGCTGCTGAAACACCGCCACGTTTGCCCTGCTGCACCCAGAGTGGCCCCGAGCCTCCACTCCCTCCCTCTCAGGACGCTACTGACTCTGCATCCCGGGCCTGAGCCTCTCCTAGCGTCTCGGTCTCCTCAGAAGGCCTGTCGGGTGCAGTTCCCACGACCCCCTCATCAGGGCCTGAGTCTATACATCCTACGCCAGGCCCAGGACCCAGTGGAGAGGCCGGGCCTCGGGAAGCCACACTTCTAGCACCACACACAACAGATGAGTACAGCCATTAGGACCAGGACCAGCATCCACAGTGCCAGGGCCGAGAGGACAGGGCTGCCGTAGACAGGAAAGCCCTCGGAGGCCAGGCACAGGGGGCAGATGCAGGACAGAGCTGGAGGCTCGTCCTGTGCCCTGTGCTCACTGGTGCCCGTCCTGTGCACCCTCCGGGTGGTCAGAGGAGCCCCCGGGCTGCAGGTGAGGTGGGGCCCCCTGGGAGAGGGGACGGAGCCACGTGCAGCCCTACAGACACTCACCTGCATAAACGTGTGACACTCCATCACGAAACTGCCTTTGGTTATCTGCTTAAACTTATCGCAAATGTCTGGAATGCTGGTGGCTTCCAAAATAAACTCCTGGTGCTGCTTAATTAAGGTCAGGGCCACCCGGAAGATAATCTTCGAGCCCTCGTTAAACAAACAGTCCCAGATCCGAAGCACTGTCTGCAGAGACACAGGAACCCGGCGTCACTCCCTGGCAGCCCACCCACCCCGGGGCCCGAGTGAGGCGCTCACCTCCACGGGCAGGACGTCGACAAACAGGCAGATGAACCAGCGGGACACCACCAGCGTCCACAGCACGCCCAGCCGCTCCATCAGGGCCCCCACAGCCGGCAGCTTCGCCCGCACCAGCTCCCCGAGGACCTCCTGGTCGGTCTTCAGGCCCAGCATGGCCGGGCTGTAGTAATCTGCCAGGCAGCGGGGAGAAGAGATCCTGAGACACTCCTGTCACCTCCACAAGCCCCATTCCCCTCAGAGCCAGACGAAGATAACAGGGCCACCCCGGGAGGACCCCTCCCAGGAGGGAAGGACAAAGCTGGAGAGGAAGAGTCAGGCTGAGGCCTGCAGACACAGGGCTCGTGGGGAGCGATCCCCACAGCCAGGCCTTTCGGGACGTCCCTGAGGCTGGAGGGATAGGCTGGATGCCACCTGGCTGGGCATCAGTTAAAATCTGCAGGTGGAGGGCCAGGCGTGGTGGCTCATGCCTGTAATCCTAGCACTTTGGGAGGCTGAGGTGGGTGGATCACCTAAAGTCAGGAGTTCAAGACCAGCCTGGCTGACATAGCGAAACCCTGTCTCTACTAAAATTACAAAAATTAGCCAGGCGTGGTGGCGGGCGCCTGTAACCCCAGCTACTCGGGAGGCTGAGGCAGGAGAATCACTTGAACCCGGGAGGTGGAGGTTGCAGTGAGTCGAGATCGCACCACTGCTCTCCAGCCTGGGAGACAGAGCAAGACCCCGTCCAAAAAAAAAAAAAAAATCTGCAGGTGGAAAACAGGGTCCCAGGGAGGTGCTGGCACCCCTGTGTTCCTAGCAGAACTATTTACAACAGCCGAGAGATGGAGGCAACCACATGTCCATCGGCAAACAAGTAGACAAGCAACATGTGAATGTCCACATGATGGAATATTATTCAGCCTTAGAAAGGGAGGGAGTCAGGCCACAGCAGCGGGAGGGAGGGAGTGACGGGACCGAGATTCAGTCTAGGAAGATGAAACAGCTCTGGGGAGGGCGGCGGCAATGGTTACACAGCGAGGTGAGCGGCCCTTGTGCCACTGATGGGAAAAACGTGGGTAAGATGGTACATTCTATGTTCTGTGTATTTTACCACAATAGAAATAAAATGTACTCAGATAAATACTTCCAACAGCGTGCCCTTCTTTTGAATGGACATTTGTCTTACCAAAGCACTTTTGTGTTTCCTATGTAATTTTTTAACTTGTTCATGTAATGAGTTACAGTAAATTTTATTTTATTTTTTTGAGACAGAGTCTCGCTCTGTCACCCAGGCTGGAGTATAGTGGTGCCATCTTGGCTCACTGCAACCTCTCTGCCTCCCGAGTTCAAGCAATTCTCCTACCTTAGCCTCCTGAGTAGCTGGGACTGCAGCTGCTTGCCACCACGCCTGGCTAGTTTTTGTATTTTCAGTAGAGACAAAGTTTCACCATATTGGCCAGGCTGGTCTCGAACTCCTGACCTCATGATCTGCCTGCCTCAGCCTCCCAAAGTGCTGGGATTACAGGTGTGAGCCACTGTGCCCGGCCTGTTCTTGTTAATTTAATATCTTGGTTAAAACAGAACCATCACAAACGCTGACGCAACATCACGGTCCTGTCACTGCTTTTCAGAGTAAACACACAGTGAAGTCAGTTTAATAGTAAACACTAATGCTTCTGAAGGTGATTTAACCAGAGCCAATTCAGTGAGCAAGCACCAGGGATTAAAAACGCCTCCCTTCCACATCCTTGTTCTGCATCTGCCTCTGGGGTTCTGAGCGCTTTCCTCTTCTTTCACCTTCTTACCTGAGCACATCCCGCTCCAGCTGGGGACAGAGGAGCGAGGAACCATCAGTGCTCACCCTGGCTCTGCAGGTGGCCCCAGTCCCACAGGTGGCATGGCAGGGGGCCCTAAGTGCTGGGCAGCAGGGGGTCTGCAGAGATGCACAGCCTGACCTTGGCCCCAGATACAGAGAAGCTTAGAGCAGCTTCCAAAAATAGAGGCACTGAACTCATTCCCTAAACTCCACCGGGCTGAGCCGGCCACCAAGGGGAGGATTAAATTAAAGCCGCAGCTGCTTTTCCTTCCTTGAACGTCAAGGGCAAGGCGGTTCCTCCCAGGGCCAGCCGGCTCAGCGGCCGCTCCCTGCAAAAGGGGCTCATCCCTCAGGCTGAGGTGCAGGCACTGATGTTCCCAACCTGGTCTTGTCCCCGTCACCTGGTCTTGCCCCCGTCCCCCCAAGGCTCCTTGTCCCTGTCCTTCTAGGGACATCCATGCCTCTGCAAACTACCCAACACTGTGCATTCGTCACCGAGGCTCTGGGACGGCGCCTGCCGGGCCAGGACGGGGCGGGGCACAGCTCTGACACTCCCCTACACACCCCTCAGGGTCTGCAGTCAGACATGGGCCGGGGCCACACAATGACGGTGACCACAGGCGTCTGCACGTGGCTGCGGCTTCCCCCTCTACTTGATTTCCACTCTGCAGATCATCCTCCGTGAGCAGGTGTGAGTCCCAAGACCACGTTCTCACACGCACTCACAGGCCAGTTCACACTGGTGCTTCCAATTAGAACATAAAAGGTGTGACTTGAAGACTCAATTTATTTTTTTGAGACAGGGTCTCACTCTGTTGCCCAAGCTGGAGTGCAGTGGTGCTATCACAGCTTACTGTAGCCTCAACCTCCTGGGTTCAAGTGATCCCCCCACCTCGGCCTCCTGAGTAGCTGGGACCACAGGTGTGTGCCACCACAGCCAAAATTATTTTTTGTAGAGACAAGGTTTCACCATGTTGCCCAGGCTGTTCTGGAATTCCTGGGCTGCCAAAATATTAAATGGTTTGTGCAGCCTTCTATGAAGGGAGTTTCCATTCCCACGGTGTCTCCCTCTCCCTTTCCCTACCAGGAAAGACACACTGAAATCCGTATCTCAAACCTCACACGGCAGCCTGTGGACTCAATTTTCCCAGTTCCTTTCCCTGTCCAGAAGCCTGAAGGTGACAGGCTGCCCAGGATAGTGAACACGCCCGGGCTCCAGCCACACTTTGTGTCCCCCGATCCGGGTGCTCTCCAGGGTGTGCGTGACGCTCGTGTTAATAAACGTCTTTCTCTCACTCATTATTCAGTCTTCGGCCGGTCCCATGTACAGAGCCCAGCTGGGGGGCCTAAGGTGTGCAGGGGAAGACATTTCTTCTTCCCCGACCACCGACAGTTAAGGAAGGTATAATCCACGCATAACACACTCTGCAGTGCCACGGAGACATTGGGAGACAGCTAAAAAATTACTGCATTGGCCGGGCGCAGTGGCTCACACCTGTAATCCCAGCACTTTGGGAGGCCAAGGCGGGCAGATCACCTGAGGTCAGAAGTTTGAGACCAGCCTGGCCAACATGGTGAAACCCCGTCTCTACTAAAAATACAAAAATTAGCTGGACGTGGTGGCTGGTACCTGAAATCCCAGCTACTCAGGAAGTTGAGCAGGAGAATTGCTTGGACCCGGGAGATGAAGGTTGCAGTGAGCTGAGATCGAGCCACTGCACTCCAGCCTGGGCGACAGAGTGAAACTCCATCTCAAAATAAATAAACAAATAAAAATAAATTACTGCAAGATATGTGGAAATTCCCACCACGTGATGTCAAATGAGAAAGATGGGATGTGTGACTACACACAAAGCACTCTAGGTGTTTCTAAAACTACCATTCATTCGTTCATTCATTCGTTCATTCATGCGATAAGGCGGGATGTGGCGATCCCTAACACCTGTTACTAAGCGCTGCACTGACTGCTGTAACAGGCACTTCCCAAGCACGGCCTCCTGGCCGCCAGCTCGGCGACAGGTAAGGCACAAGAACATAGAGCATCCCGTGTGCACAGAAAGACGACCCAGGCTTGCACTGAAAATATCATCTGTGGTGCCCACCCCCACTGATAGGGGCAGTGGGCGGTTCCGATCTTTATCTAGACTTCTCCCTCTTCTTCAGTATTAACACAATGGGAGTGACTTATAAAAGATAATCAAAACATGCTTACTACGTGAATGAGATAATGGCATCAATGCCAAGGAGAAAGCTGGGCGCCCAGGTGGGCAGAGGAAGCAGCTGATGCAAATGTGTGCATGGAAGCCCAGGTGTGCGCATGGAAACCCGGGTGTGTGCATGGAAACCCGGGTGCCTGGATGGAAACCCAGGTGCGTGGATGGAAACCCAAGTGTGTGCATGAAAACCCAGGTATGTGCATGGAAGCCCAGGTGTGTGCATAGAAGCCAGTGTGTGCATGGAGGCCCAGGTGCATGGATGGAAGCCCAGGTGCGTGCATGGAAACCCAGGTGTGTGGATGGAAACCCAGGTGTGTGGATGGAAACCCAGGTGTGTGGATGGAAACTCAGGTGTGTGCATGGAGGCCCAGGTGTGTGCATGGAAACCCGGGTGTGTGCATAGAAACTGGTCGCAGCTCTCCTGTGAAGAAGCACCTGCCCAGCCCCAGCTTCCATCCAGACAGCAGGAATCCACTTCTTCCCAACAGACAGGGTCTCTGCTCCTCACCTGAGCCACAAGACTGACCACGGCGGAGACCAGGAGCACGACCTGGGGGTTGGGGGCGCAGGGGCAGCTGCTACCAGGTTAGCCCTGCCTCTGTGAGCTGTGGGGCCGGGGTACCAGGAGGCGCAGGCTGCAGCATGGGAGGCGGCCCAGGAGGAGATGCCGAGAAGGCACAGCAAGGACAGCCAGCGCGGGAGCCACCCAGGCGCCCACCCAGCAGCTGCGCACCCCCACCGCCCGAGCCAGCCTCTCTGCATCTCTTTGCTCGAGGAGGCTTCGGCGTGGCGCAGCCCTTACGGGGCCTGAGCCTTCTCAGACACAGCTCAGGTCACAGCAAGGAAGCTGCAAGGCTGGTTTTGCTATTTGGTTTACTTTTTTTTTGTTTTTTTAGACAGAGTCTCGCTCTGTTGCCCAGGCTGGAGTGCAGTGGTATGATCTCAACTCACTGCAAGCTCCGCCTCCCAGGTTCAAGTGATTCTCCTGCCTCAGCCTCCCAAGTAGCTGGGATCACAGGCATCCGCCACCACACCCGGCTAATTTTTGTATTTTTAGTAGAGACGGGGTTTCACCATGTTGGCCAGGCTGGTCTCGAACTCCTGACCTCGGGTGATCCACCCACCTCAGCCTCCCAAAGTGCTGAGATTACAGGCGTGA